AAAGAGCGCGCAAAATGTTAACCAGACGAGTTTGACATTTCGTGTCGGTATGTTTAATGAATTTCAATGTTTCAAATGAAATAATATATTAAAGATGACTTAATTTTTACTACAATTTTATAATGTGCATAATTTTTTAGTTGTTAGTCTTATAAATAAATTCGTTCCGAATTGCTCGTTTAAATATATTAGATAAGTATTTTACCAAATAAAATTATAATGATATGGAGTAAAGTAATTAATTAATACGTAGTTTAATTAAACTTAGGTATTTAGTAAATATTTTTTATTTTAATTTTTACGTAAAATTTTAACATGCTAATTAACTTCAGTTGTAACACTCTCTAACCAAATCTTAGAAGTAAACTGGGGTAGATTTTCCTACTTTGTCGAGTCCCATACATTGAAAATTATCAAAGGCATATTTTTTAGTGTATTGTAACAGCTATAACTTAAAGTCAGGTAATAATACTCAAATAATTAAATAACAAGTAAGTAATTAAATTTAAATGATACTTGAGAAGAAAATCTTCTAAATTGCTTGCTTAATAAAGGAGCTTGACGATTTAAATAGTGGGCCAATGTTTACTTAATCTTTAGTATAATTAATGTGTAGGTACTCGTTATGCGGAGGCTAATTACAATATAGAATATAGATTAATTATTAATTAATGTAAAATTAACTTCATAGAAAAATTTACTTGAGAAGAGAGGTTGGTGTAATTAATGTTATGTAATATTTTTTTATAAATATTATAAAATTATATGCGTGATGAACGGTATCCATGGCGGATACCGTGGACGGACCTCAACCGGGACCGGGAACTCAACTCCATACTATTGTAATATTTTTTCTTACATTCATTTCTATTTGCCTGGCCCCTAGCCCTTCTTTTTTTATGTTGGAAAATGCATTCACGCATATCACCTGTAGACATACAGATGGTTATGTGGGACTCACCGACTAGAAAAGCCAGTACTATCCACTAAAACCCAACGAAACCTCCCCCGTCTTAATGGGGCGTCGCAGGGTCGCTTACGCACTCAACTACGATGCCCCGACGGCAGGTCTGCTAAAACAGACCACAACTACAATCAGGTTGCTCCACAGTCAACTCTGCTGCCAGAGAAGTACCAGGAGCAACCCGCATGGTACACCGCCCACTGAAGTTGGCCACCTACCTGTGCGTTTCTTGGCTTCGCGCCCGGCTGTATTGCCACGCACTACAACGATAATGTGAACACACTAGCCCTAGTAGACCAATAAATAAACTTATTTTTAGTTATACATATAGCAACTCATGGCTTTACAATGTAATATCCAAAAAGGTATGAGATGATGTTTATCACTTGCTCATGGTGTGTCTATGAAATAAGTTTGAGAGTAGCACTAAATAAAAGTTTAAACATTAATATTATGGCTGTAGGTTTTTATAACAATTTTCTTTCTGTCTTTGTTAAAAAATATGCAGCCCTTGTTTTTGATTCTGTTTTTTAAGTGTACTGTGTTCATGATTCATGATGATTACATACAAAATCATGATCATATATTATGGTGTAAAAGCCCTTCAAATTCAATATATATTATATTAAAAAATACATGTTAAGTAGAAATTGAATATAAAGTAATATTTATTGTATACTACTGACTTATCCTCGTTTCGCTCGGGTGCGTCCCTAGGTAGGTACGTTTTAAATAGATGTGAATAGTTATTGCGTGTGTAATAGTTATTGGGGCGTCTTAGAAGAAAGACTTTTGCTATCGCAGATTTTTCTGTAGTCCTTATTAACCTACAATTTTCTATTACATTGTTTTGATGTATCTCTTAAGGTTTGGCCAGCGTTAGACATGTTTTCTAAGATCGATTCGATAGAACCAGTTATTGTATATTCACGTGAATTACTGAATGATTGATTTTTCTGTAGTAAAAGGTATCTTAAATGTTGATCCGAGTAATAAGTTATTACTACACAAAATTTAGTTAAAATCGGTTCAGTACTCTTTGCGTGAAACGCGCACGTCGATTTCGCTAAGATACTGTTTTATTATCTTATATATTCTTATATATAAAATTTCCATGTCACAATGTTTGTTACCGTACTCCTCCGAAATGGCTTTACCGATTTTTACCAAATTTTATATGCGTATTCAGTAGGTTTGAGATTCGGCTACTATCTATTTTTCATACTCCTAAGTGATAAGGATAAGGGTGGTCCTCCCAGACCCCACCCCAGGGACGAACCCGAGCGGAGCGAGGGTGAGTCGCTAGTATGTACCTATAAATAATGTTTTGGCTCTGTTTAAAAATTAAGAAGTTGCAACATACTATTTTCTTACGCCTACATCTGAAATATTTGGACCATTTAATTAGGTATTTAGGTCTCTTGTATAAAACTTTATATTTATGCCTTTTATAATTAAAACAGAACGAGTTTGATACAACATGAATGAATGTATGTACTAGTTTTCACCCGTAGCTTTATGCAAGAACGCGCTTAAAGCGCTTTGTATATTAGAAAGCTTGTTGTTGAGGTCAGGGGTTAATGTCAGGGGTCTGCTTGTAATGACAAAATAACAGCTTTTTACTAAATGCGTATGAAACTCATAATGCAAAAGATACGGTACTTATAAGAAAACAACAATGTTTGTCTCTGTCTGTCTGTTCGTTTCAGCTAATCTCCGAAACGGCTGGACTGACTTTAACGGGATTTTCACTGGCAGATAGTTGATATTATAAGGAGTAACTTAGGCTATTTCTATTTTATTATGAGAATTACGGTTAAAAAAAACGTCCCTGGGGTCGCACCTGAGCGAAGCGATGGTGAGTCTCCAGTTAAAAATAAATTCGTCTACTTTCTATACATTGAATATTTTTTATAAAATTCTATTTGAAATAAGGTTTAATACCGATATAGACCAGAACAGTAATTGAATATTTTTTGTCTGTGTGTTAAAAATGTTTGCGTTTTACGCAACAAATACTGTACGGATTTTGATCAAATTATAATTAATAATAAAATAGTTTGCTTTTATAGCCAATGTATGCGGCACTGTTAATCCCGGAAAATGTTAAGATTCTTCCGGGAAATGAGAAAATAATTATAACAATGAAATTCTTTCGAATTTTGTTAGAGCTATTATATCGATTTTGGTATAAATTAGTACGAATAGCAGGTACTTCGTAATCGAGTTATCATTTTAGAGTAATTGATATTCCGGACATGCTTGCCCACACAAGGAGTAGGTACTTAAATATAGTTTCCTTACAAGGCAACCTTTTGCATTGATTTTGATATAATTAATTACTAAATCTTCAAGTTATTACATGTTCATTGTTCTTTTATACCCAAAATTAAATCCTCGATATGTAAGTATTTAGAGGTGTAGATATTTTATCAAATTTTGTGACCTATTGTATTTTATTTTCAGGAATGTCATTATTATTTAATCGTTATTCAAAAAATTACGATTTAGTTTATATCACGATAATAAAAAGCTCCCGTGGAATAACAGATGGCAGTTTGTACAAAATATAGCCTAGGGCAAAACTTTTGAATTTAGATGAGAATCATAAATATATAATACTAGCTTTCCCTAGCTTCGCTCGGATTCGTTGCTAGTGAAAATTAAAAACAAATCTATCTCACGGGAACCGTATATTTTCCCGGGATAATAAACCTATGTACTATTCCAGACTATAATCTATCTCTGTGCCAAATTTCATTTAGATCCGTTCTGCCGTTCTGGCGTGATTGAGTAACAAACATCCATCCATCCAAACTTTCGTATTTATGACCTCCGAGTGTGCAGCCGTACATGCTAGCCACTACACCACCGAGGCAGTTTTCGTATTTATATAGTAGAGTATGATAAGATTTGAATCTACACATTCTTTCTATTCCTAGGATCATAGGTAGTTTCTGTCTCTTCTTATTCTTAGTCATAGAATAAACTACGACGAAGCACCTACATAGTACATACCCAATGTTTTTTTTCAAATTTCAAGATTCTTGCTAAAAATTATAAATAAGTATGCAAGAGACCTACAACTCTAATGTATTAGGTTTTGTTTTTAAAATAAACTTGTTAGTCGCCAACGTCTAAATATATTTACATTTATATTTAGTTCTTTGTTGAGGTTGAAACTGTGCAACTGCAATTTTGTTTTCTAGCGACAAATCATTTGCAATACTTAGTAGTAGTTTATATTAGTTTATGGTAATTATAGTCTAAGTATATAGTAAAGAAAAACTTATTATCACCTCGAGGTAAATTTCTAGGAAATTAATTAAATTTCTAAGAAATCTATTGTTAATTGTAACGCCGGCGTGTCCGCAGTCGTGGAGGGATTAAATATCTTTAATATTTTAAGATAATGAATAACGCAATAACATTAAATAATATCCCGATTAGCTAAAATTTTTTAAGTACCTATACTATAATTTATAACACATATTATAATATATACTTAATACAGTTTTATAATATCTGATGCATACTTAGCTTTCTGAGACAATCTTACGTGAGGGCATAATATTAAGTATTTCGATAATGACAAACCGGTATATTTTCCGGTTCGTACCTTACCTCATGCACCCGATTTTATTTATTTGATGTATAGACACAACTATACTAATACTAAAAAGAGGTAAAAATTGCAAATTTGTTATAGGTAAGTAGGGTAAGTATCATCCCTGAAAGTACCTGCTAGTCCGATTTTCTAATAGCAAGCTATATTACCGCCGAGAGATTTTTTATTCCGATGAAAATGTGTTTACTGTCAGAAATCATATTAAGTTTTATTTAAATCGGAAAAAATAGATAAAATAACATCACAAAATAAATAAAAACGAATCTAAGTAATTGAATTTCATCAATTACAAAGGCTGACAGTAAAGTTTATAGATATATAATGATATTTGAGATAAAGAAAAATAACAAAGAGGAAAATATACATGCGGAATAAAATAACCCTTATACAATTCTAATAAGTACTTACGTCGAGCTGAATTCCTTCATGTTGTAGCTGTTAGCCATTTTTACAATTTAATACACAAATTTATATTTATATAATATTTGTTTACATTAGTATTATTTACTACAGGTGTTCACGCGTACGACATGTTTCCGAGTGTGCGCCGGCGCATGTAATGATCGCGCGAATCAATCTCGCGTCTAGCGTCGCAGAGACGTATACGCAACGTTTCTAAATGCAGTTTTGGCAATCATGCCATTGATGAATGAGGATTTTGGAATCAACATTTGCTAGTGTTAATTATTATATCTTTATTTTATAGCAGAATATTTTTGATTGTCACGTGTTTCTGTTTAACATTGTAGCTCTTGTTACGTTTATAAAATTGATAGAAGAAACTATAGATTCGGCCTCTGTATCGATAATACTGTTTATTTCAATAACATTTTCCAAAAAATATCTAATGTACAGATTCGGCTTCGTTACAATTTTATTATATCTATACATATAATAAAATTGTAACTAAGCCGAATCTGTACATTCAATATTTTTTGGAAAATCTTATTGAAATATACATTATTTTCGATACAGAGGCCGAATATATAGTTTTTAGAATTTTTGTCTGTATGTCTGTCTGTTACCGCATCACAGAAAAACCACTGGACGGATCTTGATGAAATTTGGTATGGTGATAGTTGGTTATCCGGGTTAACATATGGGATACTTTTTACCGCGCAAAAATATCTCATTTCTGAGAAAAAATACTAAAAATGCATTGTAAGATTATACTAATATGTAAAACCTAAGAATTCGGTTTGTGGTCATCTGAACGCGGGCGGATGTGTGATAAAGCCATGTAATACATCGATTTAAACAATTGTAGGTATGTCTTAATTTGTTGAATCGCACCTCGTTTCAATTATTGGCACGCACGAGATTCTCGTATTTGAATTATAAATAGACCGTTTACACGCGACTGTCACTAAAAATTTCATTAAACTGTTACTTTGTTATGGGGGTCAAGGCCTAATAGGGACATGACGCATTTAAGATAATAATACCTACATGTAAATACAACTTGAAGTAGCAGTATGAAATAGTGAAAATGCGTCTCTTCGAACAGGATAGTTTGCAACCGGGAGATGAATATAATAATATAGGCTTTTCTATCGCAGAAAAAAATCTTATAATTTATCATTATATGAATAAAATATATAATGTATATTAAATTTCATTAAATAATCCCATTTCTAAATTATATTACCTAGTAAGTGTTTACTTTTAAGTGTTAGCGAAATAAAATGTGCATGGAAACTCCTGAAAATATTTTAATGCAATAAAGCAAAACCATTTCGGTACTTGGTTTCCTCATGGTATGTCCCCTAATTTATTTTATTTTAATAAATTTGAGTGTATTTTATGGTCTTAAAATTTAAATAGTATTTTCTGTTTTTTTTTTCATTAGACATCCAAAAAACATTTTAAAACTCTTTCTGTGAGGTTAGAATTTTATTCAACCAGCTTTTGTGGCCTTTTGCATGCAGCGATAAAACCTAACTGTACCTATACTTAGTTTTAACACACACATTCAGATGAAACTTTTATCAGTGAAATTAGCTGCTATCTTTTACCATGTAAGGACTTTTTCCCGGGCTTAAATTTTAATAGCACTTTGGTACCTGTTATGGGAAATATATTCTGAAATCAGAGATAGACACTGTGATTTTATATAAGTACAAGCGACCCACCCTCACTCTGGCCGGGGTCGTCCCTTGTGAAAATTAAGGTTTGTGTGTATTTTTTAATGCCGAATCATAACAAAAAAAATTTTTTGTCCAAAAAATAAAAATACAATTTTTGGGATGGACCACCCTTATCACTTAGGGGTATGAAAAATAGTTAACGTCCTATTCTCAGACCTACTGAATGAATATACACACAAAATTTCATAAAAATCGGTCAAGCCGTTTCGTAGGAGTTTTGTTACAAATACTGTGACACGAGAATTTTGTATATTAGTATAATATAATAAGTACATACTACATAGGATCATAAAGTAGCTGATTTCTGTAGACTTTCAGGTTCATTAAAATTTAAATATACTTAAGTAACGTAGGTTAAATAAATTTTTGTACGCTGGTGAATTTTACAAATTATATTTATTTGTTTATTACTTATGTGATTAAATAATGTATTAAAGGAATTCCTACTGAAGTTTTCTTCAAGTTCAGATCCAAAAATATTATTTTAAAATACAACTCATGCACACAACTTTTTCGAGCGTTGAAAAATTATAATCACAGCTTATTGCAAAATAAGACACAAGGGTTTTAGTTTAGGACTGTTGTTTAAATTATATATTTTTTTATATGAAATATAATTTACGTTATATTATGTATATATTATGACATTTTTGATACCTTTTGTTGACGTATATTATATGCTACAATTTAAATTAAATTAAGTTTCATAAATTAATTTCTTAAACTTTCACTTACTGAATACCATTTTACAGACCCCTAGAAATAAACAATTTTTAATTAAACTATTTTCTTTTATTTTTTTAACATTAACGTTTTTACAATATACTATTTATTTAAAGTAAGTACAGGGTATTTTACAGTGTCACCCGCCAGTGCGTTCACGTTGTCGTGGTTAAGGGAGGGTGCTCATGAGCGTCCGGCAATCCAGCCGGGCGCGAAGCCAAGAAACGCATTAAGATAGGAGGCGGCCCACTTCGGTGGGTGGTGTGCCATACGGGTTACTTTACTGCTACTTTTCTGATGGCAGAGCTGGTTGAGTGCGTAAGTGATCCTGCGATGCCACATTAAGACGGGGGAGGTTCCGCCTGGTTTAAGTGGGTAACTGGTTTTGTCGGTAAATACAACATAACCAACTGTATGCCTAAATGCATTTCCCAACGTTAAAAAAAGGGTATTTTACAGTGTGACGTACAAATTACGTAATTATATTTAAACAGTACTTACAAATATTTATAAAATTGGACCAATGATTGGTACATGGTATCACAAACTTTCATAAATAGCATTAAACCAAATCTTATGATTGTACAACAAGATGCTGCGCACTTGGCTCAATTATACCTGAATTTCAGGATTTTCTTAAAATAAAAGATTACTTTACACTGGTCCCGTATATTCCATTAACAGTTTATTCTATTAAATCTCATACATACTTTCTTTCTATTAGGCTAATATAATCATCATAAATGAAAATATTTAAGCTAGGTTCCGACCAGTGATTTTAAATACATGGTATCACAAGCGTTCGGAATTATTAAACAAATAATTTTAATATATGTAGGTACAGTAAATAGCATTAAACATAATGCTCAATAAAATGCTGCGCACTTGGTTCAATCATCATAATACTAAATAGTTATAGTAATTGATAAAATGCAAATGATCATTGAATGATTACACGTGGAATATAAGCAGAAATATAAAAAAAAATAAAAAAAATCGATTTCAATTAAGAACTAGATAAATATATGTAATTACATTATTAATAAAATAAAAAAGTGAATAAAATGTAATGAAAGACCCTGTAATAACAATTGTTAATTGGACGCTACAGGTTTAACAATAACAACTCAAATTATCTATCTGTGTCACGTAACTACCTATTCCTAAATTTAAAAAAAACACAATATCTTATTCAACCTTATTATTAAGTTTTTCAACTATATCCATTATTGTGACTGTGAGGCCGGAGGAGAGACACCCAAATCCGAACAAGATAATCAATAAGTTTTTCCATAAAATCCAATTAAATTTTCCAAGATTATTCCATCTGAATACAATTTCTATTATTCCTGGAATTAGCAGTCCCAAAATGGAATAGAAAACAGCACCTACAATATTGATAATTTGCTCTAACATGGGCAGTGCTATAGCGATGGCACCTAAAATGATTTAAAATATAAATAAAAGCTGTATTATATTATAGTAAAGCAGATATAAAATATTAGTAGGTACGTAAGTGCAGAACATAATATTTACTCAAACTTTTAGGTTTAACATGTTATTCATATAATTTTAAGTTCAGGCTAAAGGAGTATCTAAAAATAATAAGAAGTTGATTTATGTTAAATTTAAAATTGAATCAAGCTTTTCGTGAGTAAGATGAAACTCCAAAAAAACAAGGTATTTATGAATTGCTTACCGCAACAACATACACCAGCTATTCTAGTAAAGATTTGAGCTATATTTCTATGTTGCTCCTTTATATATGGCTCTCCGTAGGTAGCAAGTACGTCGATTACGACGTAAAAATGTAGGGGATATGTAAATAAAATAGATAAGGCGATAAAAACTTTAGCGCAAACTGCTGGCCTGTAAATAAAAAAAAAATTGATTTTGTTTCCTGTAATCGAATGTTTAAAAAAAATAATTAAGTGTGGCAAAGTTACAATGAAAATATACAATCTAATAATATTTTTCTACCCAATTATACAAGTATATTAAACTTAGTTCTATTTTCAAGCACAAAAAAATTGAAAAAAAAGGATAAACTGGAAAATTCTGCTAGTAGCTTTGTTTACATACATAGAGGTCATAAGAAAAATATTTTACCTACTAAGTTGTTGAAACATAACATATTTTAACTTGAAAAAAACTTATAAAAACGCGAATATTTATGCTCATTTTTCCTCATATGCAGTAGGTATACATTTTTAATGTCATATATTAATTATTAAGACATTTATAAATCTCAAAATATGATACTGTTGTAAAAAGTCAACAAAATTCTACCATTCATCAACTGGCAAGTTTAAGGTGATAGATCCTCGCAGTTCATCACCGTATCTGAAGTATCCGAATAGTCCCAGTGTGGCATACAAAAGCATGATGAAAGTCATTGCTATCACTAGAATGCTAGGGCATCCGAGAAAATGCTCTGGTTTTTTCATAGCATTTTCAACTGGCATCACCACACCGATGCCTTCCATAGCAAATATCACTGTGCTGAAAAAGTTTTATAGTTTTTTAAAAGTGTTAGCTATCTAGAAACACTAAGTAGTATTCAATAGAATAAAATTTTATAATATTAATATAACTTTAAATTTTGCACAACATTTTTCGTATTCTCCGAATTTAGAGAAGCATATACATATATCATAAACATCCTATAACTTATACATAGGAGTTAGGACTCATAAGATAATATATATATATATATATATATATATATATATATATATATATATATATATATATAATTTTATAACAATATATTTGTTTTTTATTATAATAATATAACATTTGAGCAAAGTATATGTATCTTAATCGTATAAGATTGCTAAAAAATCATGAGGCGTTAATTTTATATAAGACGTACCGTCACATTATTTGACGACGCGTGTGGCTCAGTCTGTAGTGACCCTACTTGCGGTGCCAGCGGTCGCGGGTTCGAATCCCGCTGAGGGCATTCATTTGTGTGATGAGCACGAATGAATGTTTGTACTCCAGTCATGGGTGTTTATATTTATAATATGTATGTATGTATTTAAAGTTATATATGTGTAGTGTATCAACTATCTGGTATCCATAACACAGGCCTCGTAGCTTACCATGGAACTAGATGGTGATGTGTGTCAATGTCCCAACATGCTTATTATTATTATTACATATATGTACTTACGAAAGAAAAGCAGGAAACCTCGCAGGGTACCCAATCACTCGTTTGTCTGCTATGGTTATGTCATCTTTGAATATATAATACAAACATATTCCAAAAGTTAAAACTAGTAAGACATTTGCTACAATTGAAAACGAGGCCAGCCACTTCAAATATCTAATCTGGACCATCATACATAATGGTATTAGAAGTATCAAACAGTAATATTCTACTTGCAAAATAAATCCTGGCACATACTGATCTAAGAGCTGGAAATTAAATAAAATATATTATTTAGAAATGTAGTTATATTTATATGTCGGAGGAGGATTTAGTTACCTTTTTCTGCTAGAATGTAAACTTTATTATTGTTTAAAGTTACTATGTTATTTAGTTCAGTTCTTATTTGATTTATTTCAAATAAAGAGCGAGGCTACATCTCGAACGGGGTCGAGACGCCATCATGACATTCCTTTTTAGTGGTTTAGTTAAGTTGTTTGATCATGGCGGATCATTTGGAGAGTTATGTTTTGATATTGTACCTAGTTGGAAGTCTAATGATCGGACCCGCTGCTCAATTAAATTATTAGAATTACCATTTCAAGTTTTTAACATTGTTATTTCTCTGATTAAATTGTATTAAGCATAAACAGTTTATTATTTGAGTCCTGACAACGCCCACAAGAATATTAACCACTAAAGATGATGTCGGTAGAATATTGATACCACAACATTTTCGGCCACGGCGGCCAATCTGGCCAATCTTACTGAGACTAGCCAACTGCGCAGGAGATATTATAATGTACAGATGAATCTCTATTTCTCTCATACTCAGGTGGGACGACATTACGACACAAGTGGGGGTGATACACCGCCAACTTCTTAATTCCGGACCATTTATGAGAATTCTTGACAAAAAAACTCAATAACTAAACTTGCTCGATCCGGGACTCGAATCAAGGATCTCCGGATCTACAGCCGTATACTAAGGCAGTTAACATAAAAACGATCCATCATACCAGTTAGTTTAGCCTCAATTTCTGACATTTTCTTTTAAAAGAAAAAAATATGATCTACTTCACTCTTTTTACGTTTAACAAATTATTAAGTATTAAAATAACAGAGAAATCGTATCATATTTATTATTTTTCTAAGCACTTTAAAATTATAATAGGTATAAATCCTAACCTATATTTAAATTCTGAATTACCATTAAACATAAACATTACTATATAAACACATACCTGTTTTATAGAATCTGCTATAAGCACTGTGAAAATGCAACAAACTCCGACATATGTGAATATCAACGAAAATTCGGCGAATATACTGAAATTGAAAAGTATTTTAAATTAGTACCCAATAAAAGTTAGGTTTAAATAAGAGTTATAAAAATCTTTTTCTATGCTTAATTTTGGAGAATTTAGCTCAAAAGGTAATATAAGTATAAAATATATGAAAATTCTCACCCAGCTGCATTTGATAACGGCCTGAGCCTTTTCGGCCCTACAGCAAAGGCTACTCGACATGTTTCCGAGTAACCCAATAAAGGTTTTCGTACAATTTTGCAACATTCTCTAGATACTTTAACCTGTAAAACAAGTTGCTGTACTTAATTATTCATTTCCTCAGTGCAATAAGTAAGATAGCGTATCTGTTTAATAGCTTTAAGCATTTAGTAGTAAAGTAAAAAATATACAAGACCTAATAACTAAATGTCAATTTTACTAGAAGTTACCAACGTAACGTCCTTCGTATATAAAAGTGTTAAAATGCGAGATAAAGCCAATGTCGTTCGAACGTAATAATTAAACCAATAATAATGTTTTAGAAGGTAGCTATTAAAACTTAAATACCTGTCATTCACTTTGTTTTGAGGTTAATAAATCATAGAAACATTACGTCATATATAAAATGAAATGTTATTTTACGATATGTGCCAATGTATAGTTGTCGTAAGTAGTCTATTCAAATAAAACAAATAAACGATTGTTTATAGGTCCATAGTATAATTTTGGTCTAATTTAGGAAAGTGTTATTCGATTATGTAGAAATTAAAAGTTTTACAACAAACACTTACAAATATATGAACGCAGTGTCCACATATAAATGCTATTACAACAGTGCCAACAATGCCTATTCCCCATCCTGCATTAGCAAATGCTAAAGGTATAGCTAGAATTCCAGATCCTAGAGAGGCTTTGATCAAATTGGCAAGTGATCTTATATCTCTGAAATAAATATAAATGTTGTAAATCCTATACTGTTATTTTTTTTAATGGTGTTCAGTGACAAACGAGCAGACAGACCACCTGATGGAAAACAGTACGTGTCGCGTGTTGTATTATATGAGCAATATTTGTACATATTTGTAATCAGGGTAAATAGGGGTTTACGGGGCCGAAAAATCGATCGTATTTTCACGCAAAAAAATTTGCCCGCGCAATATGGTTCGTAATTTCGCCGCCACCGCCGCCGTCTGAATAACCTTAAAGGAATCTGGTATGAGACGGTGTAGTGGGCAGACTGCTTAATGGTTCAAACCTTGGCCTACTACGCCGAAGGTCAGAAGTCTCTGTTTTTATTCTTATTAATATTAAATGAGCAATTCTTCTATATCTATACTATAATGAAACTGTAGAGGTCAAATGTCTGTACATAGAATTTTTTTTCCTAAAAACCGAGTCAGGGAGATGTAAGAAAAGAAATAGAACAAATTCAGATTTTTTGTTTTTTTTTTGTTTCTCTGTCGGTTTGTCTGTTTGTACGGGCTAATCTCCGAAACTTTCGGACCGATTTTCATGAAATTTCGCATAGTGGTGCATTATGTCCCCGGTAAACATACTTATTATCTCGGAAAATTAAGGAGTTCCCGTGGGATAGTTAAAAAACTATAGTTACTTATACAGCTTAGTACACAAAAACTGTTGACTGGATTTTAATGAAACTACAATAATACAGTTCATTTATCAGAATAGCAAATAGGCTCCTTTGTATCCCGGAAAAATGTACGGTTCCCGTGGGATAAATTTGTTTTTGTTTGTCTAAAGGCGAACCGGAGCGAAGCGAGGGTGAACTGCTAGTTTATATCACTACATAGTATAAAACAAAGTCACTTCCCGCTGTCTGTTTGTCCCTATGTATGCTAAGATCTTTAAAATTACGCAACGGATTTTGATGCCTTTTTTTTTAATAGATAGAGTGATTCAAGAAGAAGGTTTATATGTATAATATATTATATTATAATATAATGATATTATAGTACAAAATAACCACTAAAACGTACCTAGGGGACGAATCCGAGCGAAGCGAGGGTGAGTCGCTAGTATAAATATATCTCGTGTATCTCGGAAACGGTTCTAACGATTTGGATTAAATTTTGTATTTAGATAAGATTTTGCTTTTAATGTTTATCTACTACCTATATAAAAATGAATAGGAAATAAAAAAGTTTTTCAACAGGTTGAAGTAATTCTTATTAAATGGAATTAGTGCAAACTAAGAAAATTACATAAAAGTAATGAAATTAATACAAACTACACGCGTAATATACATATAAAAAACAAACCCCCGAATTGAGTAGGCAGTGACTTTATCCTTTGTAAAATCGGTGAAATATTTTAAATTTAGGTACTTACGAGTTAGGTTTTTTTATAACACGATGTTCAAATGGGTTGTACTCCAACGCCCCCAGATCACTTTTGCTGACTTCCATGGGTGTTTTGTTTCAAATACTGTGTACCTATCGAAACTATTAGGCTATTATAAAATGAAGAAGCACGTTAACATTAAGATTGCAAAATATTTCATTTGACACGCCATTTATTTCAGAACTTTGGCACGATAAATATTTAAATAGTTTCTCTTTCTCACTTTTATGTAAAGAAGTATTTTGCGAGTTGATCCTGAGTTGGCAAGTTTTATTTGAATATATATGTTTTATGAGTTTAATCTCAGTATTTAACTCAGAGATAGCGAGCAGATAAACTAAGTATGGACGCACACAGTAAATAGGTTCTAGTAATATAGGCATATTTCATTAAATTCATTAGTATCTACCTAACATGTATTAGAGAAATAAAAGCATTGTTGGTAATACGTTCTCAAATAAAAATTCCACCACACTATGTTATTCACAGAACACCTATTTCAATAATAAAACACTTATTAACAACAAAGAATGCAGTATGTAAATAAATTTAAATTACTATAAATATTGTTAACCTGATATCCTAATGTAAATAAGAGCCTTTTATTTTTTAGCACTTACTTTATCCGAAATATTATCTTCAACCCTTCTCTTCTTACACCTGATGTATTTATTTTATTGGACGTTCTGACTGTATTAGCCAGTTGTTAATTTTATAATCATTTTGATTTTAATTTCTGCTTTAAATTCACGTTTTGTTAGCGAATGAATACGTTAGGACCAAATCAGCATCGTCGGTTGCCGAACATGCGGACTAACTCACGGCCTGTTGCCTCACAACTGCAAGGTGATCGTAAACATTCATTACTTAACACCATCTATCTATACGTCTAAGTGTATAAAAGCATTTATTTTTATTTAGTCTAAATATGTAAGCATTGAAATAGTGGTTTATTTCATATGGATTTGAAATATTTTATTCTCTAAGCATACTTGAATAATTGTATCTATCTACGTCTACTACCTATGTCGATAAAATATAGTAAAAAAACTAAGACGTGTGGATGTATTCAGCCATTTTTAAAGCCATTTATACTTATTGTACTGGGTATAGTAAGGAATTTTTTTAAAAATATAGAACAATTAGCAATTTTGTGCCTTTTTCGGCTAATTATATTACTCGACTTCGGAGTCTATCTGTATGATATGTTTTATCAAAGTCCATCCAGTCAATATGCGAAAAGGAGTAACAAACATACACGGACATATAAACTTTTGCATTTATTATAATTTATAATGAATATGATTGAGAATAATAATTAAAGAATGACAGGAATGCTTATTAAAACACTAAGTTGCTACTGCTTAAACATAGAAATACTCGCAGTAGGTCACACATACATATTCAAACTGAATAAGGCGGAAATTATTTATTAAATGATTGTAACATTAATCATATTACTTACTAGCAGAACTCGCGGCTTCGCTCGCGGGAAAACTACAAAAAATCCCTAATTAGATAGTTTCATACAAACTTTCATCCCCTATTTTACCCCCTTATAGGATGAATTTCAAAAAATCCTAAAACACGTATTTATTTAATTTTTTTGAAGATCATTAATAGCAAGTTTCAAGTAATTCTGAACATAAATATTATTTTGAATTGTATTATAACGTGTTTTCCCGTGGGACATAGATAATCTCCCGCGGTAAAAAATAGCCTATGTCACTCTCCAGCCCTCCAACTATCACTCAATTAACTTCACACAAAAAATCACGCCAATCGGTCACTCCGTTTCGACATGAAAGAAGAACAAATAAACACACTTTCACATTTATAATATTAGTATGGATTTTGTTTTACATTAGGTAATTGTGAAAGGTATATTATTTCAGAATCATTGTTACTCAAAATAAATTAACTTATTAACTCATACATATAATGATTTAAGTTTCTATGTAACAGAGAAGGTAAGTATGTATCTGGTAACAAAGTATTAAATATTGCATAGCGTCAATATATATATATATATATATATATATATATATATATATATATATAAACCAATAAGTAACTTTAAATTAAACGGGGTCATATTGTATGGTTCAATAAAAGGAATATTCACACTTGCGCGAAGTTACAACCTAGTCTACAAAATATATTGCTTATATAAATATAGGCATGGTCTGAATCTATTTAAGTTGGTAATAACTATTTAAATAATTATTAAAAAGTCCTTTAAATCGATTTCGGTCGAGGCAAACACTCTATATGCACAAGAGATAGTGCTCAAATGTGTGAGTGAACATAAGTGCAAAGTCTGGTGGGATAAGAATTCGATCCGAGCTGATGGCGTTACGTGGGAGGCACGGTTTTACACATACTAACCAATTCAGGGCTTTCTTAATAAAAAAAGCCTAGTTATTACGCTTAGGTCGATCCGGGACTCGAAACCAGAACCTGAGGCTTTGAAACGCGATTGTTGAACGAAACAATTATTATATTACAGATTCAAGTTTTACTTATTAGCCTCAAGAGCTAAGAGTTTCAATTTATCATTCCTTTTTTTACCTATGTGTACACCAATAATATGTTGCTTTTTGCTTAGCTTTTATATGATGAATATTTTCTATACTAATATTATAAAGGGGTAAAGTTTGTGAGTTTGCGAGTTTGTGAGGTTGTAGGGGGTAATCTCTGGATTTACTGAACCGATTTAGATGAAGGTTTTCATCCCGGAAATCATCCCTTAAGGAGGTATAAATAGGAATGAAAGTTTGTTTGGGAAATCGACCCAAGGACGAACACGAGTGAAGCGAGGGTGAGTCGCTATTCTTTTACATCCATACTAATATTATAATTGTGAAAGTCTGTTTGTTTATTTATTTGTCCTTCTTTCACGTAGGAACGGAGTGACGGATTGGCGAGACTTTTTGTTTGGAGATAGTTGCAAAGCTGGAGAGTGACATAGGCTACTTTTTATCGCGGGAAATTATCTAATTCTCACGGGAAAACACTTATAATACAATCAAAAATTTTTTTTGATCAGAATTACTTGAACCTAGGTATTAATGTTATTCAATTAAATTAAATAAATACGTGTTTTAGCATTTTTCGAAATTCATCCTATAAGGAGGTAAAATAGGGGATGAAAGGTTGTATAAAATCACCATTTCAGAGATTTTTTGTAGTTTTGCGCGAGCGAAGCCGTGGGATCTGCTAGTATATTAATAAACAAAATAAGCTAAAGCAAATAAAGTTTGATTATTTTTAGGGCTCCATGCCCAAAAGGTAAAACGGGACACTATTACTAAGAATCCAATGTCCGTCCATCTGTCTGTCTGTCCGTCTGTCACCAGGCTGTATCTCATGAACCGTGATAGAAGTTTTTACAGATGATGTATTTTTGTTGACGTTATAACAATAAATACTAAAAAAAAGAATAAAATAAATATTTAAGGGAGCTCCCATACAACAGACATGATTTTTTTTCGTTTTTATAGATAATGGTACGGAACTTCAACGAGTCCGACTCGCACTTGGACGGTTTTTATTTCCTTATAACTATAAATTTCAAGGTTTCTCAATCTACTTCTGGTGTTTGCCAGTATTTACTTCATATGCATAAGCGTAATATATTGAAAAAAAAAACAAACATAAAAACTGCATCAAGTAAAAACTACAAGGTCGTCGTATTACAAAAATAACTAATTTTTTTATTATTTTACCAATTAACAAACTAATAAAACGAGGAATTAACTAATGTTTTAATATACATTACATTTTAATAATAAACTCAACAATAAACTTCATAACAATCCGCACACTATACGAGTAAGTATACTATATAAGAAAAATATTTGTTACTTTATTCTTTAGGTTTTTAATTCATTAATTATAATTATGTCTGCAAATTACAATTTAGTTTTTATCTTTTGTTACGGTATATGAATTCTACCTTGAAAATACTCGTTGAATTTAAATATGTATAAATATTCGTTATTATTTTGTTCTATTGGTTTTCATTGTTTAGTGTAAAATATAAATGTATAGTAATATGCTATAATAATATAACTAAACTATTATTTTCTTGAAATATGCAAAAATTTACGTATAAGTACCCTCTGTATAAATACAGGTGGTTATGTGGGACACACCGACTTAGGATACCGACTAGGTATTACCTGCTAAAACCCAACAGAAGTTCCCCGTCTTAATGGGACGTCCGCGTCGCAGGATCGCTTACGCCCTCAATCACGACGTCAAGCCCCGACGCAGGCCGCCGCAGTATCGAGAAGAAAAAGAATAATATTTTATACGCACATGCACCTAGCGTAGCGCTCGTCTCAAGGCCGATTTACATCAAACGAGCGAATGTTCATTCCTTCCCCACCCTATCAAATTCTTTTAATGTAAGCAGAGGCAGAGTATTCTTTCGTTGTTCTCTCTGCGTTCTCAAAGATTCTATAGAATATTCTAAGAATGCTCACTGGCTTGATGTAAACGGCACTAGAACGTGCGAACTGTTACTTAGAGTGTTCGAACGCGCTCGCTCCCCGGAGCGGTCTCTTTAAAGCGTTCTTGTGTTCTAGCGATTTGAATATTTACGAGTACATACCTACTTACCGAATCATGGATTGGTCTCAAGAAAAGTATCTATTAAAGATAGAAGCATACCAAAAGTACAGATTTCTGTGGGATCCGACATTTGTTCACTATAAAAATACAATTCATTTTCGTTTTGAGTGTTTGAGACAAAATAATAAATGCAGCACTTGCAATAATTATAATCTCGCTGCCAGAGTTGCACATTACCAAAGAGTATATATATGGATATATCTTTATATATATATTTAATACAAAATTTATTGTGTAATCAAAATTTATTTTAAAATATATCCAAAAATAACATTAATAATTGAATTAATAGTATAAAAAATGTTTTAAAACACAACAAAATCGAAAGTGCATAATATTTAACACCATTCAGACAAAGAAAGACAATAGCATTCCCAAGGAGGGTTGACGTCAGGCAGGCGGCCGGTCGTAAAACTTTTGCCAAATC